GTCGATGGGCCTGGTGGTGTTGTGGATTCTGCGTGGGGGCGGGGGGGGGGGGGGGGGGAGGGGGGGGGGGGGCCAATACTTCGCCTTGTACCTAAATTCACTATTTCTGTTGAAAATATATGTGAGTTACCCGAAAGATAACCAGATAACAAGTTTTATCAAGTATCATATAAAAGCTTTAAAAGTGCTTTCTACTTGTAACAAGAACTTAAACACAAAGCGAAAGCAAATAATATCATGTTTCTTCAAGTTCTCACTTTAGGTTTAATAGTAACAGCTATAGCTGTGTATGGATGTGCGAGACGAGAGTGTCAACACCCTCACGTCCACCCAGTTTTTTGTGACGTTATTGCTGCTACATTACAGGACTGACTTTACAATTGCGTTTGCAATAATGTATACAAGCCGCGAGTCAAACGTCAGAAACAAAAAGTGAAAGATAAGTCGACGTTATGTTAATATTTGAATGTTGTCGACACAGGCAAGCAGAGAAATATTGTCGAAGAAGAGAAGAACGCAAAAAAGTGGTCCTTCTAAGGGTTTATTCAGAAAATGGGCCATTACTGACGAGACAGAAGTATGCGGGCAAAAGTGATGATTGATGTCGCTGGGTTTACTAGCGAGTAGTTTTACGGTATGTAGACATGCGAGCGACTAATATGTTCAGCAGCAACACTATTTTTCCATGACGAACAGTGAGAATTCATTTTTGGCTTTAAAAGGGTGAGAAACGCCTACTTTATCAATAGGGATTTTAAATGAGACTTCTCATTTTCCCAGGGCATCAATCAGGAAGACTATAAGCAGAACCCGCATCTAAGAATCCTACTATTGGATCAAGCCACTCGTTTTATGTACATGTATTCTGTTATACTCCCGAAACAACCGCTAAGCTATCTTTTATATAATCTTTCTCGCCTTCGCGCGAGCTCACAACACGCACTATTTGAGTGCGGGCGTGCAGCATGGGCGCAGGGGAAAGAACACAGAGATCCACATACGGGACGTTGGTGTGGATGTGCGCCATTGGCGGTTCAGTGAAGCAAGAACCCACACCCACACCTACGCTCACGCTCACACCCACACCCGACACTCACACCCGGCATCCACACCCATATGCATTCTATAGAACTCGTCGAGATGTACTTAGGAAGTATAATGGCTTTGTTGAAAAATTCTCATGAGCGAATCACAACATGCTTTACTAAAATCTACTGCATTTTGGCAGTTTTTTTAAAAGATTTTCTACGGTTTGAATATGCTAGGATCACTATAGATTCGATCCAACAGTGTCATCTGATAGAGCTCATCAAGCTTTGCTTGGAAAGTTGTTGGACTTAGCTGGAAAGTTCTCTCAAGAGGATTCATTCAAGAAAAAGCGAATCCTGACCTAAGATATCCTACGTTCATGATACATGCGGCCTTCAGCCGTGTGCTGCTGTTATGGTCTGCATCTTTTTCTGATGCAGTCTTAAGGATTTTCCTTGCTGCTCTATAGGATTAGACATGTGCACTTATGCTCTTCTTTTCTTTTATTGTTAGTCATGCTTTATGGATTTTTTCCTTTCCTTTCATATACATGTATGTTGGAATTTTCCCTTTCACTCTATTCTCCTTTCTTTCGTAATGTTATATGATGTTTCTCTTATTTTCTTCATCGTTTATGGAATTTTCCATTTGGAATTTCACAACGCTTGTTATCACTCTATATAGAGTGTTATGGTGTTGCGTAGAGGAGAGAGAGAGAGAGAGAGATAGATACAGTTATACAAATAAAGCATAAGTGGAATTAAGATCTCACAGTTACTTCCGAAAAAGTCAACAATGAAACACTTTTGCAATTTCTTTTTGTTTCGAGTTACTCTGCTCATAACTTAGGTCCGATATTAAAGAGCGTGAACATTCTACGCTCACTCATACATTTATGAACAATTCAAACATTTTTATCGGCCAAGCAATGTCACTATTAACTCCAGAAGAGGACTCTAGTATTCATATGAAGATTTTTCTTTGGAGCTACTATCGATTGGTTAACCTGCACCGCTGTATTTTAGTCTCCCTTTTTCTTCCTCTCCTTTTATCTTTCAGCTTTTTTAATTCTCTTGGTTATTACCTATATTTTTTTTTAGCATAGTTCTCATTTAAAAAGATAAAAAGAAATACATTTACATATACACATTTTCCTTCGATATTTTGCTATTTAATCAATACGATAATCTATTGAAATATTTACGATGAATGCTGAATCACTAGATGACGAAGCCGGTGAAATTGGTATGATGAAAATGAATTACAAAATTCATAGCTATTATCTTGTGTTTCAATTTTTGAAAATTTTGTTTCTGTCGTTAGGTAAAAAACATCAAATAGGACATTTACGTGTTGATACACAAGGAAATACAACATACAAAGGTTTACCAACGAATCAACTTGCTGAAGCTCTTCAATTAGGTATTCAATATAGCGTTGACGGCCTAGAAGGAAAACCAGTACGTGATGTATGTTATCAAGATTTTCTTACTGTGGACATAACCGATTTTCCAAAGTCAGAACAAATGACCGTTTTCATCGCTGAAAAAGAAAGTTTTTCCAATTTGTATTTCTTTTAGATACGGACGAACAACGCCCAAACTCATCCCACCACATCGCTTTAATGACTTTACTATTTGTTCATATGCTCCTGTTGCATTTCGACACTTCCGAGAAAAATTTGATATTAGACCTGAAGATTATTTGGTAAATATATTATCATAAATTTACTTTTTGTTTCTTTAAACAAACACGTTTTCTTTTTCATCTTTCATCTTGTAGTCTATAATATGTAAACCTTTCCATGAATTAAAAAATTTTGGTGCCAGTGGGAGTTTATATTATTTAACAGCATGTGATGAATTTATTATAAAGACAATACAGAATGATGAAGCAGCATTTTTAAAATCTCTTCTTCCTGGTTATTATATGGTTAGTGATATACGCATTACAATTACAATTATCATTAAAATTTCAATTTCGTTCTCTATATCTTTTCCATTTGATTTTCAGAATGTTACACAGAATCGACATACACTTCTACCAAAATATCTTGGCCTATACTGTTATCGAGTATGATTAAAATATTTTGTTTTTCTGTTAGATAAATGATCACCTTCGAAATCCTCAAGAAAAGAAATACAGATTGAATAAATAGGAAACAGATATTTACATCTATCTACATCACAGAATTTTAACCAAGAAATAGACATGGTTCTCTAAGTGAATATACATGAAAGAAAGTTTTTTCAAACCCATTGATTCGCGCCTTCGTGTGAGTATGCTCATAATAAAAGAAACAATCATATAGGACAAACTCTTAATCTTCTGTGTCTTCTTTTATTGTTGGTCTATATTGTTGCCTAATTTATCTATCTATTTGAGAAGAAATCGATTTCGAAAGGTAACAATAAGAAAGTTTTTTTTGGCTTCCTTGAAATGGAAGCTTGAAGTTTGTTTGCTTGCATTTTTACTTTATTCTTCTTACTTAAGCCGGACGAACGATTTCTTAAGTTCAAATTGAACCGTGATTCAATCAAAAATTTATCTGTACATACATGTTTAGGACGAAAATAAAAATATTCATATAACTGTTATGAATAATTTAATTCCATGTCGTATACCAATCCACGAAAAATATGACCTGAAAGGTTTAACACATAAACGACGAGCAAATAATGAAGAAAAACGGAAGAAATCTTCAACATGGAAAGATTTAGATTTCATGGAGCATCATCCAAATGGTTTAACACTTGATTCAAAAACCTATAGTGCTCTCGCAAAAACAGTTCAACGTGATTGTCAGGTTAGTCTGATAAAATACAGCATGTATGGTTATCACTTTTCTTTTAAACGTATTTTATTTTTTTAGGTATTGCAGAGCTTTCATATCATGAATTATTCGTTTTTGATCGGCGTTCATTATCCCAATCGAGCTCCAGATTCACCCAGAGTAAGTTATGAAAAACTGTTGAATATTTTTGTATCAATCATATTCTATATGTGTTTTTCAGAATATTTCTGTTGCTGGAGTTGCATCAAATCGTAATTATATCCAGGATATTTATAAATAAAAAAAGTAACACTTATTCTTTTTTCAAAGATATATCAACGGCACGATTATCACGTACAATGTACACGACACCAATGGATAATAATCAAATTGAATTTGAAGAACATAAACCTGAAGATGATCGTGTGGCTAAGTATGCTTATTAATAGGATTTTGAGCTTAAGAAATCTTGAGAAAATTTTGTTACTATATAATGACAGTCGCTGATTCAGATATGCACATTGACAATAATAGTGAATAGTTTGATTATAGATTCGTCTCGAATTTCTATCCGAGTAAGGCAGTATCATGGACGTAACTGCATTTAATAAAATATCAATCAAAGGTCATAGTTAATACAGCAATGAATTCAAATGTAAAATCTTTCGTCGCTACTGAGACGATGTTAATGGTATGTGTTATAGAAAAGTCTCGAGTGGTTCTTTTTTCTCAGTTTGTTTTCTCGAGACAACGAGATTTTACTAATAGATGATTTAATAAAAAATTATGATCAAGTGAAAATTTCATGCTTGACTTCATAATGCCTTTGCCTAGAAAATTCAAGATCAGATAAGTTTATTAGAGAAATCTCAACTATCCTAATATTTTCTTCATGAAAATATAAATTTTTTATGCTCACCTGAAACCATTTTGAATATTCAAACTTACATTATAATGGATACGAAAGAAACCAGCTTTTTACGAATAAAGAACTAATCTCACTGAGAAACTTCTTTTTTCGGCAAAGTTTGAAGGAGACAGATGCTTTTCTAAATAAAGTAGTTACAAATTGTGCTGTTTGAAACCTCCAGTAAAATTTTCAAATGTAATAAACAGAGAGTCGGTAAGGCATTGAATTTTAAACTAATCTTCTAATATTCATTTGATGAACATTAAGTCAGTTGAAAATAGATGTTGCATATGCAGAGGTATCCGCCGCAAAAATTGCAATCCACCTAAGCTCACCATTGTATTCTCATGCATTCATTGTTAATATTTATGTGTTTGTTGAGGTCAGTGTACTGCTGCCTTTACATTAAAGCTTAAGAGTAAAACAAATACCAAAATTCAAAAGTTATCATATGATTCTTTCGTTGTCTAGTGTCAGAAAAATATCTGAGATGATTGAAAAGATTCTCGATTCATGTCACGTTTTGTTTTTCTCACATCCTCATCCTATCTGCAACCTCAAGCACTGACCTTATCCTATTTCTAATTGATACGACTAGACCAAAGAGATACGAGCTTTTCTTAACGGCCTTTCGATGCCATTAGATTATTTTACAGCAGTCGACACGTTCTATATCGATCTTAACAATAAAGATTGTGTTTATCATTGTTCTATCACACTAAACATTATATTTTTAGAACTGGTGGTATTCCAGCACTAACCGCTGATGGTGAAAGCGTATATCTTTATGTTGGTATCATCAATATCTTACAATCATATCAATTAAAAGAAAAAGTCAAGCATATAATTAAATCCATTGTTACAGATGAAGTATATGAGATTAATTCATTTCTTAAATTTTGAGTTTTCTTATAAATCAATTTGTTTAGACGCAAAATTCCGTCACCTCTCCAATTTTTTATTCTGAAAGATTTCAAAAATTCCTTTTCAATACTGTATTCAAGAAGGTATCACATATATCTTATAGAATAGTTTTTATTTCAAAAAACAAGATGATTTATTTTAGTAGAACGATTGTCAAGATCAAACATAGGTGAAGGACAAAGACTGTCAATACAGAGTGATACATCAAATACAGCACTAAATATGACGTATGCGATAGATCTTTTTTCTATTCGAAAAAAACAATTAAAACTTATATCCTTCTTATTTTTATTAGTCCCTCCATAACGCCACTCAGTGGTAGGGTGTGGGTGTGTGGGTGTGGGTGTGTATTTGATGAAAAGATCCACACCCTTTTTGTGTATTGAAATAAGATAGAAAGAATTTTGGGAACGTCAATTTTTAATTCTGTTCCCATTCCCTAAGTCTAAACGGGAATTCCCATTCCCATGGGAATTGGAATGGGAATGGGAAAATTAGGGAAAAAAGTCGTTCCCGCAGGGCACTAGTGTAGGTGTGCACGTGGATGGATGTGGATTGTGGCTGTGTGGATGTGTGTGGGTAGTGTGCATGTTCTAATCATTAACACTCACACTCACACCCTCATAATTTTTGTTCTTTCATAGTTCAATATAAATTAGATTCTTTCGTATTAAAATTAAAAAAGTGCTTAAAAGAAACTCAAAAACAAATTCAAAATTTCAAAAGCAAAACAAAAAAACTACAATAATTTAAGAAACTATATAAAAAAGAAATTTCATTTATTTATTGTTTATACGGTCTTCTGCTTTTCAAAAATCATTGTTAATTCGCTTTTTCCATTTAAAACCACACCCACCCCCTTTACTGAAAAACCTGAACATTACTTAATTGAGTAGAATTCTTGAGATTTGGACTAGCTGATATTTTCCAATCAAATGACTTTTGTATCATCATCGAGAAAACTCTACTGAAAAAATATCTTCCCATGTCTTCAAACTTTTCTCAAAGCTCATTAGATATCTTATATCAAAAAAATCAATGGATTTATAATTAGTCTCTTCACAGTGATACTCGAATCGATCCATCAGAAATCAGTAGTGTCGAATACAGACTCATATGGAAAACGCACTTTCTTTCGTATCACATTCTGAGTTCACTAAATTTCGACTGTCGTATCACGTGACGTCTGTTCATCAAATCCGAGCAACTGCTAGATTGTTCAAAACTCCATGCACATAGGATTATCAATATTTTATGATATTTTTTGAACACGATACAACACAACAGAAATATATAGGATTTATTTTTTTTTTAAATTGATTTTTCTCACTTGTCACAACATTGCTTGGTTTTTAAAATTACAACATCGATATAGTTTCAAAATGCTTTATTCAATGTCGAATGGTTGTATGTAAACTGAAATTAGCAGGTTTGACCGTGACCGTAAATTGTTGAATTAGTAGTCGTTGACGACGAAGTATTCTTTCTAAAAATTTTTTCTTAACGCCACTTATCGATGCTAGACAAATAAAAGGAAAGAGAAAAATGACAAAATAACAAAGAAATGTGAAATACTGGGCCGCTTGGACTCCAATATCATTTGATAAACCACAAAAGTAGGCTATGTTAATAATACTAAGTGGAACATTGAAGACCATGTTAAGAGAAGACAGAGACATGAGCTGCATTGTCATTTTGCGATGCTTGCGCCATTGGATTGGTAAATGAGAACGACGCTTCTGCCAGAGGACTCGAAAAAGGAAAGCCAAACTCAGCAATGCTTCAAGAAATGTTGGTGACGCAATATTGGCAATCCAGTCCCACATGCCCATGATCGGATCATATGCATAGCATGGAAACCCACCGCAGAGTGGCAATGTGTAGTCATAAGTATTCTCACAAGGAAAATAATAAATGGCATAAATATAATAAATAAAAATATATAGGATTAAAAAAAGTAATGGGAAATAATGTATTATGATGCGTCTCTTTCTTGTTGAAATCCATTGATCATGAAATACGATAATATGTCGTTCAAAAGCAGTCCAAGCCATAAGTATGGCTCCTCCATCGTACATACCAATATTCACAAACCACCACAAGAGACAAATCGATGGATTCGATGAAACAACGCTCGAATGAGCGATAAAATTGAGATACACAGGAACATCAATTAATTGAGAACCTAGGCCAATAAGCAATAAAATAACCAGAACATGATTCTTGATGTTAGAACGTAAGCTTCGATCAGTAAGGATACAGAAGAGAACAAATAATGCACAAGCTGTGGATGGAATATCAAATAGAAGAAGAATCCAAAAGCGAGCAATACGTGGTAGAGAGATTTCGGTGCTGACGACTGAAATGTTTTCCGTAGCATTCGAACTTTGGTTGTTATCCATAACTGAAATTTTCAAAATAATCAAAGAATACCTGGACAGATCAACATAAACTAGAATGTACATCGAACATCGTCCAGCTTTGAACTATGATTGTCTATAGGATTCTCTAGAATGGTGACGCGTAAAATCATGTCAACCAAGTTGGCATTTCATCTACTTAACTAAATCTATCGACTCAAACTCGATAAGAAACAGTGAATGAGTGATAGTCAGAGATATTTGACCGTAAAAGTAAATACGTAGTTGCTCACTATCATTTTGATGTATACTGATAATCTCTTAGTTGAAGTAGGGTTCAAAAAATAGATTTCACCTGTGTACTCGTTACAAGAGCTCCGCGGAAAAGTTATTAGACTAATAAAGCTAATAAGAGTAGAAATATGATACATTTACAGAAGACGAACAGTGCATCATTTTATAAACTTTATACTAAAATCTGAGACACTGCTATGAATAGATGTGATCGGTCTGCAAGAACAAATTGATACTTGTGACAATATGAAATCGACATGGTTAGTTAACGAATCGTACCAAAAGAAAGTGTATGACAGAATTTTTTTTAAATATCCCAGGAAAAATTCAGTGTTGTCTAACTGAATGGAAAGAAAGTTCATTTTTCTATAATCGAATTCTTACTGAATTATTTCAAAGAAAGGAGAAAAAAAACTAGTTGTATAGCAGCTGTGACAACCAAATAAAAATAAGTTTATCAAGGCTTTAATTTTTTGAATGACATGCTTTCTAATACATTTATCTTATTCGATGTATTTTAAGTTTTGTCATCGATCATCACAGCTTTGATTTAATGAAAAAAACGTGACAATCCAAATTTCAACTTGAATAAAATCTAACCGAAAAAGAAGTTGTCATATGATACACTCAATCATTGGAGAGCACATCTTCTAATTGTTGATAAGCAGAAGCAATGTTTTGTTTATGCTTGATATAAAACTGGATATGAACTAGATGGATATTTCTTTCATACATAGAGTTCTGCAACTTAACAGAATGACTTGGAACTTGATATCAATACGAATGAAAAAGGTTTGATTGGGTTCCGGTTCCGCTAGGAAAATATGCGATGTATTTTCATAAACTCTCATGATTTTGTCGATCCTTGTAACTAAATGGTTTTAATATGATTGGCGATTATATAGATTTGCTCGGAAAAGTTCGAAAATTATATGGCTTACACGTAATGGTGATTGTAAGCACTTATAGTTCTATTTAGATTTCCAACCCATTAGTAGTTTTGATCAGTAATACCGCTCGTCCATACAATACGCTACTTTAAACATTAAGTATTTATTTCAAAATTTTAAGCAATCGCTTATATCACGTTGTAGAGCACATTCAAAAGTGTAAGACAATAGGTTTTCTTACTCGGAACATTATTTCTGTAAGTCTTTAAAATCTATAGACTCAGTTTTAACCGCCACATTACCCATTGAAGTTTTATTCGTGTTAATTTACAGCAAACTGTATATCTTGGTGTTTAACTCCGTAACGTCTCAATCAAATGTTTTGTAAAGTCTTAAGAGCTATCTGTCCGTCGACAAACTAACAAACTTGCGTCTTTTCTTCACGTTGAAAACTTCTGAAAATAAAACTTGATCAATACTGCTATTACAGCGTTACATTTTTGTTTGTTTCCATATTTCTGGATATGATTAATGTCAACCATAGTTATTCGTACATATTGAGAAAACGTTTTGAACTGTCTAATTACTTTTGAGTTCAGACTCAATCCGAAAATGATGAAAGGCCTTAGATCTGCTGTCGAAACTTATAGATGTTGTATCAGAAATTTATCATATGACATGGTATATACCACATATTCGCCTAAGGTGATTCAGTCTTTTAGGTTTTTTCATATTTCAATGGGCTCTACATTAAACAGATAATCCGAAGTAAAAAAGCGATCTTGCAGTTCAGAATACTAGCTCATGATTATATGTTTCTTACCTACAAGAACGACAGGCTTGATTCCAGAGAAGAAATTTGATCTTCACAGAGACTTGAGAAATGTCCCTAGAGGTTGACATAATTGTTAGGAACTAGGGTTGCAGAAATTTCTGTTTAGACGGTAATACAACCGATTCAGATGTATCATTAATCAATAAAAAAAGATATCAATCTAGGTTAAAAATGGATCACAGCGTTACGTTTTGTTTTTGCAATTTTTACACGAGATACGACAGCTTGAAAAAGACTGTTTAACCTTTCAAAAGCTCATTTGATGCTATACAAAATTCGCTCCTAGAATAGTTCATTTGAAGATCGTCTCTCGCACGAAATTCGAACCTAAGTAAGCGCATACAAAACTCAGTCTCTTCTTATTTCATAGTCTTACGAGATTGTAAACCCTCTCTGAATGCTCAAGACTTTTACCGAAAAATGTCACTTTTATCGCATAAATTGAACTAAATAAACGACGCCAAATGACATTTAAACAAACTCTCCAGTCCTCAAAGTTTTCGAGATAATAGAAAAAAACTGTCTAAAATGTGCCAAAGCATAACGTTTGGCCAAGCCGAATACCTGATATGAATCAGTGAAGACTTTAACCAAGAACTATTACACAAGTGAAACTCTATTGACATGGTTACAACTGTTTCATCTTCCGTAAACTTGATTCAACTAACATTCACCATATGTACCATCAGTTTAGTACAAACTTTGGAGCAAGACTGAAGCAACTCATAGAAAATATAATTCAACGTCGTATGATTCACGTGAACAGACAATGTCATGCAGCTCTACTAAATTCTATGAAATTGTCATACTGATTATAATTATTACGTGCTAAATGAACAAACTGACACTGAATTTTCTTCAACTACTTTATTCATAAAGATTATTCATTTTCATGAGGGAAAAGAAATGAAACAGACAGTACTTACTTTTTTAGCGATAATCGCTGTCAATGAAACGGCGTTCGATCATAGTACTATGTAATAAATAATTAGGTCAATATTAGTCGAATAAGAGAGAGATGCACGATAATAGACCGCAGTGCTCAAAGAAAAATTTCTCAACATTTTTATTAGTACTGTGAAGGAATAATGCAGAAAGCGTCTAAAAGTAACTAACAATCTATTCAAGAACAGACAATATCAAATATGAGTACAAATAAGAATGTTCAGTAGATTCTTACACTTTTGTATAAAATGTTACAGCAGATCACGTACTAACTCATCGAAAAGTTTTTCATACTTAGGCTTCTACTGGCTGAAGGTTTTGATACTTCACAATGAGTATAGTTTCATGTTTTCTTAATATATCGATGCATCGAATAGGTGACAGTTACTATAGTAATGGATAAGATCGTTTATTGTGTATTCGATAGGACACATCCTCATTTCTCATATACCGTACTCACCATTACGCTATACGGTGTGATTGAAATTTGTTTGGAAGTGAACAAGAAATACGCTTTTGTTAGACTTGCATCTAGTTGTTGCTCTTCCGAATCAGAGAGAAAGATAACATGCTTTTTCTCTTAGCAATAAATCTTTTATGTCACTCAGCCTGCGCTCGATCGAAACGCTATATAATAAATACCGAACTCATTATGAACCGACTATAATGAAACAAATTCGATTCGATTTGATTTCGAACTCTTATTGGAAGAAATCGATTCATCAATGATAATGAAATGGAACTAACTTAACAACAATAGTGAAGTTCACTAGTCTTATTCCTTCTAATCCGTATAAAGTTTCGATGAAAGATCCTGACTCATAAACCCATCTATAGTGTCATTAGAATATTTTGTACTTGTTACGTGAAACATGAGATAGGATAACTCATGGATTTATAATCATTCAAATATACTGAACGCATCCGTCGACGAGAAAAAAATAATCTAGCCAGAGATATTAGCAACTGAAGAAAAAATAGTAAAAAAAAAGCGAGAGAACAACAAAAGTAACTATATTCTTTCTCACAGAGTCATTATGAATTGTAAAGTGAACCCTACAAGTTCAAGACTTTAACGCCAATGTATCTATTTAGCACGAGATAAACTTACTGTCCATGTTTACGCAAAGCATCAATTTTTCAACTTATAGAATATAGCATGAAGAAACAAAGAATTTTTATTTTTCTCTGTCAATCAAAAATTTGAGATACTTTGTATTTTGACAATGGTATCTTTAGCGAAAATAAAGAGAACGCCTGAAATTAAATGATTAGCTACAGAACTAAACGATCTAGAATTTAGCAGAAAAAATTGTTGAAATATTATTGCATACTATAGCTTCGTATAATTCATGAACAGATTTTATTTATTACTATCTGGAAAGAAAACTTATTAGAAATTTCAAACTTGATGCACTTCATTTAGAAAGAAAATTCAAAACTAAATAAAATGTCAGTGGAAAAAAGTGTCATCACTCATAACAAAGCGCATCCTACTTACTAACTAACTGTTCATATGTCATATTCAATGAAAAATTATAAAAGAAAAAAAAAGAACGGAAGTGAACGTATTCATCAAAAGCAACATTGGAAATCTATGATGATCGCATTCTATAGTTTTGGAAATTTGTTTTAAGTCGACTCGAGCATGTCTTGCACCTGAAAGACAGCATGTATTTTTCATCGTGTGCTATCATCGAATGCATTGTTTTCGGTTCACAGTCACTCTTCTTCTATATAGAGCCCTTTGTCGATTATTCAAAAAATTGTTGACATGAGTTTCTTCTCTTTAGTTTTTTGCAATGATCAAGATAGCTGTCAGTTCAAGTGAGATGCTCTCCTTTGATGTTCTCTAAAGCACTACTAAAAATTCAATACTTTGAAGTAATCAGCTCTTTTGGAACGATTCAAAATATCATTTTTCACATCATCCAATGATTTCTTGTGGATTAAAAATTGATCTTAGAAAAATATCATTTTATTGTTCTAAGAAAAAACTGACGGAACAGTATACAATCATCCTCATTGTTAAAATTCACTCAGTAGATTCACAACTCCAGTATTTCATTACTGCACCATTCAACACATACTTACAAAGGAGAGACAAAAAACAAACAGTGAAGTGATTGCACAAAAGCAGTATAGGAAGATGAGATGATGAGAAAGGAAGATCAGCAGGACACGATGAAAATATCAGTGAATTTGTGTTTATTTGCAAAATAAAACAAAAAATGGAAGTTTATTAAAGAAAATAATAACTTTTAATGAAGCAATGCATAGAACCTCGAAACTTGTAAGATGATCTACTCGTCTTTGATCTTTCATGAATAACTAACATTAGTCAATTTTATTTGTTTGTATTACTTTTTTGTAATTTTGATTCTATGGACCTCGAGCCACTGATCAGAAGTGAAAAATATTTTCTTAAATTCACTTTTCAACTTGAATATGATGAATCGATCATATATATCCATTTGACTGCATAAAGTATAGACTGTGGGGCCCACACCCCTTGATGCATTGGATAAGACAAGTTTGCATGTGACGAATCCTTTATTATGACTTGAAATCTAAGTTCTCATATAAACACAACTAGAATATTTTTTACCAACATCACATTATAATTCATGGCTGTTTTATTATGACATATATATGAAATGAAAAGATTTATTTTGACCTCTAATAAATGATTTGATGAGGATGAAAAAAATTACCTCCAGTAATAAAAGATATGATCATTATCGTGAAGACATAATTACATTTTTTCAACTCTCTCCACACATAAGTATTGAAATAACTAAATTCTTGAACATTTAATTCATTACCCTCAATTCAAAATATTAACAATTCGATCCTAATATATACTTTTATTATTTGAAATAGGATAGTGATCATTCTTAGTTTTTCGATTTTCGATATGGACTTCTCAATGTCAGAAAAAAGTCAACAGAACGGAAAAAAAAACTCTATTGAATAAATTAGATATTAGGCTATCACGGTTTCGCTATATGCTAATAAAACCCCATATAATTATTTTTTCAAGGAGTTCTATTATATTAAGAATTAGATGATCAACATTACTATAGACACGAGTATCATTTATTTGTTTAGGTTCCAAACCATGATGTATCCAACGAAATAACAGTTGAGGGATGTTGATATCTTAATATTTGTATAAGTTGACAAACATTCGATAACATTGAACAAAGAACATACTGAGAGTTGATCAACATTTGTAGCTCACACATTAATAAAGGTGTTTCAAACAATTTTTCTCTCGATGACAAACGATTGAATTGTGATTGAAAATGACCATGCCGTCGAGTAGTGTTATAATTAATATTGTATATACTAACAAAATTCCATATTGATTTTAAATGACGTAATTCTTCGATCACTAAAGGATCGTTTGATGAGACAAATATTTGTTGACTTTCATTCTTTAATAATTTTCTTTGCTCAATTATTTTAACTATAGTTCTGTAATTGTATTGGACGAGGGTGGGGGGTGAGTGTGGGTAGAGGGAAAAGAAAGATCACCACCCACACCCCATACCCACACCAAACCTCGTTTTCGCAAGGGGTGGTGTATAATTATGCTACAGTCATTTTTTCAGTTTTCTCAAGCTTTTTCTTCCAATAAGAAGAGACGAAAGGGAGAGATGGTGGGGCCAGATAGTGCGTGAGTGCTCGCATGCTCGTATACTATTAGCAGATCAATATCGTTTACCATGGAAATAAAATAAACATTTTTGTCTGTATATGCAAGAAGGATCTATAATTTTGCCATCCCCTGTATTTTACTAACGGTGGCTGTAGGTATTGTCGTATCCATTCTTTTCTTAGTACCGTATGTCATATACTGACAGTTTATGTAGAACTTGAAGAAAGAATATCATTGTAAATCATGTCATTTAAACATTTAGTCAGGTGAATTCAAGTCGACTAGCGACGAACCATAGAGTTAGCAAGATAAACCATCTTATTCTGTCTATAAATATGCAGTAAATTTAAAATATCGAGAAAAAATTGAAGATTACGCCAGTATTAATATAATATTGAAAATCTATTAATCTGAAATCTATCGCTACACTGATACAGTCTGAATCAGGCTACAACGAACATTGTGGTGCTTTGAGCTACTTTAGCTCAGTGGTTGTTTGCTCGTCTTCTAATGTGTTTTATCTTGCGTTCTCTTATTCGAACCCATCTCTTAAAACTATTCAAATTTCGTTTACAACTTGTGTTAAGTCGTCATAATCGTATATCAATAAATAATTGGGCAGGAGGATTGGATTATCGTTTGAATAGTCGAGAGTCTACTATCTCTTTTGTTTTTTGATACTCCAAAAAGTGCGTTTCTTGTCAGTTTTTTCAGCAACAGTGAAACTCGTTAATGCTGACCGGTTTAATGTATTTACCTGATGTTAAAGTTAACGATACGAATTGCTGTTTAGAGGAATACGTTTTGTAACGTTTGTTTTAGAAAGTGCAAAACTTGTTAAACCGATCAGCATTAATGCGTTTCACAGCGATGGCAAAACGCGTTTCTTTCGCAAAAATGTACGTCATGGATTCGGAGTAGCTTATTCTGTTTTCGATCATTCTTCATTGAGATCCTGTCAATATTCTTATTTCGTTGTGATTTTAAGATCTCATCGTTATCACTATTATATATTTCATTATCAACAGTGGTATTGAATAAGTCAACCATTTTTTTTTCATCAGTTAAATCTATTTCAATGTGACGATCATGTCGTCAAAAACTATTCTCTCTTTTTTTGTGGAATTCAAATATTTTCTTAGAAAATAATGAATGTAAATTTGAACCGAGGTTTTTGCAGCTTCCATTCTAAGCTCCAGCAACCGGGGTTTAGAAGAGGAAGGGCAAGAATTATTGGGTAAGTCTCCATAACAACGAGAAGAGGCACGTCAGTAACAACAGTGCTTAGATCATTCTGAAACTTTTTATGAATCTAAGATTTCTAGTGTAGATTCTAAATATTACTCTAAATATTGCAGATGTGGGCGAAGAGTAGAAAGCCATCATAGGAGCAAACATTTTCTTCCAGTAAGAAAGATTGATCCTCAAACGAAAATATCGACAAATAGAATAATTCAAGCGTAGACATCACGTTTTGCCTGAGGAAACCATTCGATATGCGAGACAAATATGCATCGTGTAACAGCCATATGTAATTTCTAGATGAAAGAATCCATTTCAAATGCGTCTATTTATTTATCGATCGCTCCAACACAGTGTTCCATGAACTATCATGAATTTGGACTGATGAATTCCGTTCTAATAGTGAATATAATCAGTTAGCACGCATTATAATTGAATGAGTCAATCATTGTAAAATCTGTCAATCAACATAATAATGGTGAAACAATTGATGAACAATTCTACTCGTCATTATTTTCTCATTTTATTGGTAATATGTTGCTGTATCTGTACTTTCGTCTATGTGTTTCGGTTTTCGCCAATATCTAAATTTCAAATGGTCAAGCTATCGTACATTATTCGAAATTTATCTTTAATAGAGACCAATACATTAGAAATATCAAACTTTCGAATTTTATATATAGTATTGAATGGAGATCCGTTTCGTTCTCGATCGATTACATTATACTTAAGTGCTTATTGAAATCATATCACATGGAAAAAGTTTATGTGTTACTTTCCCTGGTCTAATATAACAACTTTCGGAATAATCGATCGTCGATCTAGTAAACCATTTTTAACATGTTCATTGCCAGATGTAGAATTATTAGCAATACAAACTGGTTGGCATTATTTCAATATTACTCTTACAATAACATATGAAAATGAAATCAATCTATACTGTGATTCGTAATAAACGAAATGAAATAATCGATTGGATTGAATATCATCGAATGATTGGTATTGAACATTTTTATTTGCATGATAATTTGAGTGAAGATCATATTGATATATTTCTCAAATATTATCTAGATCAAGATATTGTTACTATTATCAAATGGCCTTTTCGACCAATTCAAAATCAACATTGGAACATGATTCAATCTGCTTCAATGAATCATGATTTGAAAAATTTTGGTCCATTCAATAAATGGATGGGTTATTTTGATGTTGATGAATATTTTCAGTTAAACAATACAAATGAACAACTAATTCTAAGTAGAAAAAAATCACTTGTTGAATTACTTGATCAATCATTTCCAGAGACAAAATTTCCTGGAGGTGTACAGTTTTATAATTGTACAATATCATGTTTTCTATCACAAGAGGAAATACTTGCAAGTCGTCATTTGAACATGTTTCAAAAATGCAATTCAATTGTGGAGTCTCGAGATTACTTCAGACGGGCAAAATTATTTATTCGACCTTAAAAAGTTCCTTTCCATGCGAAATATTAACTCACTTGAGCGTGGAACCATATTTTCGGCTAAGAATGACCTCTCAAATTTCGATCAATTGCGACATTATCATTATGAAATTATAGGTGCAAAAGGAGATTGACGCGATAAATTTGATAATTCCATGAATAAATTTATCGTAAATTTAAAACAAAGAGTATCTTTATTCTATAGAACACATTGTCCTGAGCTTAAAATTTATTAATGTTTTAAAATTTCTTTATGTACGAATATGTTGTTATGTTTTTTTTGCAGCTATTCTATTCACTGAATAGTTTATTAATAATTGATATAAACTCATTTTAACTTCACGTCGAAGATTTCAACGTGTCCGCCATTCATTGTGACTAGTCATCAATGACATGTCTAATTGTCAGTCGACAGAAGAAAACACAATTCATTTGGGCTTTTATAAAATATGCTAAAAAATTCCGAATTGAAAGTGTTTATCGATTAGTCGCAAGTTTTCTTCAGCAGTTAAGAAATGACGATAGGTTTTTATTATGATGCACATCAACAATACCCAAGTAGATACAAAATAATAGGATGTGAGTGTCGCACAGGTATCGATTATACACCCACCCACAATCATAGAAACAATATTGAGTTGCTCTCTACGAAACAATTAAATCATTTGCTTTTGACTTTTTAAAAACTAAGATATCAAATATCACCTGTCCTAGAAATATACGAAAAAAAAGACATCATCATCATTCTAACGTATACCAATACAAGTCATGAGTAGAACAGCAGTTCGTTTTTTCGTATTCATTTTTCTTAGGTAATTAAAAGTCTTTTTTTTTCTCTATGTCTCTAATATTGGATATTTTGTTTTACATATTCAATTATTAATTTAGTTGTACAGTTATTCAAGTGACTTCTCAACCATGTCATGGAATGTCTCAATATAGTCAATGTTCGACAAATAGTGCATGTGGATGCCTTTATAAAGCAAGTTCTGATAACATTGCTATTTGTGGTTTTCTTAGGGTGACTTGTTCTGAACTTGTTTCCTGTGAATCTTTAAACAATACTTGTTATGAGCCTAACCATACTTGTATTCGTCATCCACGATGTCATAATCTTCCAGTTTGTTATCCATTATCAATGAGTAATCAACAAATGTGTCCACAAACTACAAGTAAGAAAACTATTTTCTGTTCGAATTAATGTTTTTTTTTTGACGAGAAAAAAATGACTGGTCCTGTTCATGTCTATAGTTGAGGATTCAATATATTGTATTTGCTTAAAAATGATTTATTTTTTTGTTTGTATAAATGTATACTCGTGATGAATAGTGACAATACTACCACAGCTACGAGTACAAACATCGTAACAGCAGGTAAGTATTTCTGTTTCTTTTTTTTTTCAACAGAAAAACTAAACAACTACAAAAAGCTACATCATTTAATTCACTTACAAGAATTTTCAGCTAAAACGTTGTCTTAGACATCTTGATAGCAAAATAGCCATTAGAAACTATTTAATAATCGTGTTTTTCTTAGTAAAATTGGATTAATCAGTAGGCAAAGAATCTTTAACAAATATAGATAATGTTTGAAATACAATAGAAAACTAATACTTTGAAAAGGAGGCATCGAATGACTATCAGTTTCAAAGGCTTTAGTTTATAAATTTCAATATTTCAGAGGTAACTACAATGGCAACAACGTCAGTAGGAACAACAACAACAACAACAACAAAGAAACCTATTCCACAAGGTAAGATGGAGATATCGAATTTTTTGCAATATAGTATTTTAATGATAAATTAATAAACTTTTGAATTTTTTAGAAAAACATCTCAGAAATTCATTTATTTTTGAAATGCTCATATTTCTGGATGTTATTAAGTTCAGTTGTTCTTCATGAAGATAGCACGGAAAACACGAAACTATTTTGATAAGTTACGTCTCTGATTAAAACTAAGTAACTTTGACACAACAGATTTTTTAATTACGTTTTACAACTACCAAAAACTTTTTGATAAATTCTTACTATAATATTCATGATTTTTATTTATCTAACGTTTAGAGTCTAACTAGTTCTTGAGATAATATAAGTATTCGACATAGTGCTCTATACTTAATTCTTCTTCTAATAAAGTATGCGTATTCTGAAAGAAAATTGAACAATGTTCAATTTATAGATTGTTCAGATTCGAATCTAATTACATTCGACAACATAACAAATGAACCTTTAGCTGAAATACCTTCGAATTACATTGGCTTACAATGGAAAAATTTTTATGTCATGAATTTAACTGCTTTTCCATCCTATGATACAAGTGGTTTCTCTACAGCACTTCAAAGTGGATATATCGCATACAATAAAAATGGATCAACAATGACAATTAGTACTAGTCCACCATATATGTTTAACTTATATTCATTTATTACTACTTCTGCTTTTCAAAATCAGGTAAAATTAACAATGATTGGAGAACGCTCATCTAAAATATGGTATTCTGCAATGTATCCATTATACACACATTGGCCACAATTAATCAAACTGAACTATTTGAATATTGATAGAATTACCTTTTCAACTATTGATTCATCAGAGTTTGCAATGGATAATTTGTGTATCTCAATGTAAGTTAATTGAATCCTAATATAGCTCCATTTGGTTTTGCCATTTTTTTAAAAACTAGTTCACCGTTAACAACCACCATGGAATCTACAACAACATGAATTGTTTTTTCTTTTATTTATATTCTAGCTAAATATAATTCATGTTTTGCATTAATTATTGTTGAATAGCAATTTTACAGTATTAGGACTATATTGTAATAGTGTCACATATCGCAAAAAAAAACGAAGAGGGTGTGGATGTGGGAGATTGAGAAGGAAGGACTCATGCACACCAACACCCCACACAAATACTTGCTACTTCTACTTATTAGGTTATGTACAATTAGTGTTTCAGAAGAAAAAAATAATTTGCATATTTATGTTCATATAACGAACGTTATTTAAATTTCGAACAATCAATATAAACATAGGAGTATTCATATCCACATCAATTACTTGTGTTTTACGATTTTTCTATCTCTTAAGTATATTCTCACACTCAATCGTTGTGTTGTATGTAGTAAACAATATGTAAATTAAGGCAAAATGTGCTTAAACTGCGATATTATCGAACTGCCGATTTCTTGAAAAGAATTCTTAAATTTGGAAGAAAATGATAATTAACGAAAACGGAATGCTTTAGAAGAATAATAACGTGTCTAATATTTCTAACATATATCACTGGTTCGTCTGTACGAATCATATCGCGATATTCACTTTCTTTCAAGTGAACACGTCTGCTGCTGCTCATGCTGTTATGATGGATGTTCTCCCATCCAGGAGATGATAGGTAGAAAGAAAGAAATTGACCTGATTCATTCATCATTTTTCCCACTACAATGGACAAGACTTTTTTTCTTCTTGTATGAACAATTGTTATTTATATGCATCAATTGTTGTTATTAAACATTTTATAATGTACAGTTACAGTCGATGTTTTTTTATTTTCTTCGGTCAATATATATACTTACTAGGTTGGAAAAAATATTTTTCCATGGGGTAACACTGCACTTTCAAATAACATTAATATCTCAGTGTTGAATTGAGGAAATCGACATGGAAAAAAATTTCTCTCATGAGTCAGGTCATACTGGATCTTATTCAAAATCATGATTATTACAAATTAATCGACATCTAGTCTGGAAACAAACATTGAGTTATGAGAAACCTTTTATTTATCCTTGTATACGTCTCGTTTCGGTTCTGTAAAAAACAAAACAGCAATGGTCGCCAAACCTTAAAAAAATATAACATTATTTTGTGATATTCATCATTTTAAATGAGATTTAGTTTGAACTGTCTCATAAGAAGAATTTTTCCATGTCGCCGCCTAGTACACAATATCTGAACGATGAGTTAAATCAATTCTGTTATAGAATATTCTGATTCTTATTGATTGAGAAAGGTCATTTTGTAGTTTTCGATAAACAGCTCCTGATCGGAAACTACAAGAATATCATCACATTGATCAAAATACGTCAAAAAGATGTTAGAAAACATTACTGTTTTATAGTCGTTAAGATTGGCAAATAATGGACCCTTATATACATTTAATATGCCCACCACTTTTACTAAGTTTATAACATTTGAGCTTCATTGTTTTTTGGATCAAACTAGAGTAGATAGTTCAACAAGTGTTTCGATATGATGCGTGATTTCATGCTAACTGTGCGTTGCTGATTCGATAATCGAAACAGTATTTTATTATTAAATATGAAGCAGTCTATCTCAGATTTATTCATATAGATCTTAAGAGTTGCTAGTACCTTCTCATAGACAAGCAAGGTTGTATTATTATGTGGTCTACAACTACTGAATCGTATTTTACCCTTGCTACAAACATCTCTGATTGTTCAGCTTCTCGCTTGGTTTTACGAGAGTGTGGGTGTGGATGTGGGTGTCGAGTATGGGTGACAACAAGAATGACACCTACACCCATGCTCCACACTCGTCTCTTACCAAAAAGCCCAATTCAAAATTTCTAAAATCGGACTTCAGATTCGAATTCTTCGATCTCGATTTACCTTTGGTAGAAGTTCCCTAGTCAAATCTATATGATATTGAAACTGTAAGATTGAAGGAAAGATTTGGATTGAGTCCAAACTTAGTATCGACCGAACCCCGGGAATGACCGATACCCGAGAATACCGAACCCGGGAATACCGAACTCCGGGGAGTTCGAGCTCGGTGCATGCCTATTTCGTGTGGACTGATAGAGGTACAGGTATTGGTCGTTTACGACAGAACAGTGGTAAAGGTATGATTTCTACTGTCGTTAAAATGGTCTATGACATTTTCCTTGACAGGGCGCCGGCTTGTTATTTTTGCATTGATGGGCGCCTCAGGCTTTCATGCATCATATATTGATATATCTGAATGTAGTGAAGAACATCGCATGAATTCAGCCCATTTTTTTGAAGTGGATTGATAGTACTGCTTTCCTTCTTCGATAACAACTTGGTAATATTTGTTTTTTCTCATTTCTATTTCCATGTTCGAGCTTAAGAAAATATTCAAAAATTGTTCTGGTGATTGATACTGCCACATAGCATAATCGACTTACAAATGACACAATACCATCATAAAGATCATGGCGTAAAGAAACCATTATACAATGAGGGTGTGGGTGTGGGTCGGTGTGGGTGTGAGAGTGGGTGTGGGTGTGAATGGAGCCGTGGTTGTTCTGTACTCTGAATTCCATACTAACATTTACAGGCATACCAACACCTAACTCTAAGTCTTGTTTTTTTCACAGCACTCATTTTCACTCTTATTGTTATGCTGTATGAAGGTATAGTCTCCAGGGGACAAAAAAAAGGTACCTTTTTCCATTTCATTTTTGTAACACTTAATGCATTGTTTAAAAAAAAAACATACCACAAGATACAGCGTGAAAAGCTCTACAATTTACATCGAACAGTTTATTGAAATAAGAAAAAAGGAATTTCTCATTGGTGTAGAAAAATGATGCTTTCGCAGCGTCGAAAATTGGTCGCACCGAATTTTGCTTTTCTTGAAAACGAAAAGTACATAATTGAATTAAGCGTTTCTTTGTAGATTGTAGTTCTTTTTGCGCTGCTTCTTGTGATATCTTTTTTTAAACAATGCAGTAAGTGTTGCAAAAATGAAATGGAAAAAGGTACCCTTTTTGTCCGCGGAGGAGTATTAAATTCGATGAAATCAAGCAGTTAAATTTTTGAAGAAAATAAATTTTATTATTAAGAAATGGTAATTTTTTTTTTCGTTTTCGTAAGATACAGTGAAATAGGGGTTGGGTGTGGGTGGGTGTAGATGTGGAGTGTGGGTGTGCGTGGTAATAGTCCTTTCATCCACCTCCACACCACCCACATCCAAAATTCCACCTTGCTTCTCCCTTTATATATAGCTTTCTGTGCATAGCTATGTAAGAGTTTTTTAAGCTTTTGTGTGCCTGTGTATGTTTCTTATCTTTTCGTGATAGATAAATGATGACTATCTCCTTCAGCCTCGCCAAATGTAAAACTTAGGAATTAGAATACCTTCGAAATTTGCAAGTACTCATTTTCAACCTGAGACTTCTACCGTAATTTCATCAAGTGTTTATATACATCGACCCAATTTGCCGATCTATGAGTGTAGAAATCACTCAGCCCAAAGAAAAATAAAAGTACACTTTGAACTGAGAAGAGTGCATTATTATGACAGATTTCTAAAATAAACAAAGATAAATCCTATGCAAGACATCTTTTATTTTCTTGTAAAGGTTTTACAAAAGACAGTGAGTCGAACATATGTATGATTTCTTTTTTGCTTCTAGATTGCTATTACTGTGCTAGCAAGTAAAACAGATGATCAGCGCTGATCTTACCAACAACTATGAGTTTTATGTACTGAAGAATATTATGGAAGCTACAAACGAAGAAATGGATTATTTAAATCGTCTGCATCAAATTGTGCTCACAGACCAATACCCTCCAATAGACTTTACGACTCTTAATCTTCCAAACTTGATTATTGATGACTTTCTCTATCATGGTGATTATAAAAATGCAAACGACATTGAACTACTCAACAAATTGAGCATTCGACATATTCTTAGCGTATGTGATCTTTCGTTAGAACAAAGTATATTCGATCATTTCAACGTGTTGCGGATCAATGTAGAAGACTTGTTTTATGCCGACATTCGTCAACATTTTGATCAAACAAATGAATTTTTGCATTCATGTAAATGCAAAAACGAGAGAGTTCTAGTTCATTGTCAAGCAGGTATTTCTCGTTCATCTGCATTCGTTCTTGCTTATCTGTTAAAGTAAAAAATAATGTTTTTTTCTGCAAGAAACTTCGATTGTTTACGTCTTATTTTTCAGATACCACAACCAAACATTATATGATGCTTATGATTACCTAGTCAAACGACGAGTTTTAGCTCAACCAAACGATGGCTTTTTCCTACAGCTGATTCGTTACGAAAAGGATTTTCACAAGAACGAATCTAGCAATACGACATGTGAACCCATCGAATTGTCCAATACCGAAGCGGTTTCAACGACTGTTGAATCAATCTAATTAGATAGAAGATTTATAATAAGATTTGAACAACGTTTGAAGTTTTATACAGTTGTTTTTCATAAGTGTCTTCTTCATTTTTTCTTCGTACTTAAATATACAAGAGAAAAGCTTTCAATTATTGGTTTAATTTCAAAATCGCTTTCTTTCTAACTCCTATTGTTGTTAGAAATTTTTCACTACTAATAATAACTTAAAAAGTGAGCAATTTCTTGAAAAACGGAAAGCAGAAAAATATGATCATTTTACAGGCGATCAAAATATACTGAATCCTCTACACAATCTGCTGTTAAAACTAAATGACTCACGTTGCAATGCCGTTTCTTGCGAATCTGTTCTGTATATTCAAAAACTTGTTAGCACAGCCTCTTTTGATGTGAAATGTGAAACTCACGCATCACATTTAGACTAGTTCTACTAATACACAATACGTAAAGTGCAAAGCTTGTCGCACATTTAAGTTATTTTTCAAAACAATTGATCGACAGAAGAAAATGTCTTATTTATTTATTTTTCTTGTTTGCTAATGTCTATAATACTGGAAAAGGGAGGAGCCGAAAAATCTCAATATAAAACTTACACTCACTGTTTTCCTACGAAAATATACGTTACTTTCACAAAAGTTAGTAAATCTCTAGCTATCGACAATTAGAGCGAGTAAACTTTTCTTTACTATTCTTGTATTTTGAAACAGATAGTAGAATAAAGTTCAACGTTATGTTTGATTTTGAATAGATACAAATCTGCCGAATTATAGGGTGTGGGTGTGGGTGTTGAAGAAGGGAACAAACAAACCCACCCACTTACACCCACACCCACATTCAAAATCAAAGAAAGCAGATGAATAGGTGATTCGCACCTTAATAAAAGAATTGTGATAACTAAAAAAAGGTTTAATTGATGATAAATTGATTTTGTAATTCTACTTATAAAAGAAGAAAACTCAAAAGACTGAAATTATCGGTTACAACTATGATTTATTCCATGTATAGATAAACATTCATTAAGATGAAAAACGATCGCAAGAAGAAATACCAATACGATCTGAAGATAATCTAGACTAGAGCCCGTCGGGTTGGTTCCGGATCTGTTTCCAAAAATTCCCTTTTGATCGGGTCGAGATCCGGGTCTGACTCAACGAACGCTACTCTGAAAAAGAGCCAATTATAACTTAATTTTTCCAAGATCATCTTCAATATTCCTTGAGAAATGAGTAGAGTATGTTTCAAAGCGACTATCAGATGCGGATTAAAATTTTTTATTGGGTATCAAGAGTGTGATTGGGTTCGGGTTCGGGCCCAAAAATATTTAATCAGCCGGATCAGGGTCCGAAAAAGTTTAACTAACCGGGTCCAAGCCCAAAAATTTTGGATCGGACGGGCTCTAATTCAGACAAACAATTTATCTATGACTTCTGAATTTCAATTATTGATCATCGTGAATGAATAGGATTATATTCAGTTTTTATTTTCTCTGAGATGATTATATTGATACTACTATCACAATTGTCAAATAAATCCACAAAATCTTTCAGATAAATAATATTTCAACTAAAAACAAAAGTAACATCAAATGCACATGTGTTCTTTACGATGTCGAAAATATCAAGATTAGAGTAAACGAACGCAATAAGTATCGAATTTATTTAAAATGACTCATTGTTGTTATTGTATGTTGTTGATCACAATACAATTTGAGAAATTTGAACTTTGCAACATATAATATCATCGGAAAATGAACAAATTATTATTTACTTAAAATTTAATTATTAAATTTAGAAGTTATTTGGATGAATGTTTTNCCAATTGGGATAGCTTGTCGCTGAATCGGTGTTGGTTCCTATATTGAAAAAAAAAACTTTGTCAGTGCAGCACTTTTGCAGCTCAAATATGGAACTCGTACATGTTCTTTATCCTCATCATACTAATACAAAACAGGTTAAGTGAAAAATCTCTAGTAGTATCCAAGGATAATCGGACTTCGGGTCTTATTGTGGAACTCATGTAGACTTGCGAATAAAATAATAGTGAGTAGACGTTTCAATGAAGGTCTTCCGAGCTCCCCTAAGACACAGCAATCAGATAAATAGATTTATCTAGCAATGAGAAAAGGTGCGTAAGTTATAATAGCATTTGGATCATTCTAGATATATGTAGATTCTGGTTATTCTAAATATTGCGAGTTTTGGTTTCAGTGCAACAAAAGGATTCTATTGTAAGTGACAATCAGTAAGGCAATGGTAAAGTTCAGGCTAAACTCAACAGTGTATTTTAAAGTTCGTTGAGAGAAAGTATGGTGTGCTCGAAAACTTACTGAACGATTAAATCGACGTGGATAGCAGGTTAATATGGTAGTTGAACCGACGAAACGAAGAAGAAATTGACATTTACCACTTTCTGTGGCATATGTCGTACACATATATACATCAGGAGAAAAGAAATTATGTATTGAAGATGTATCCGACAATACAAGTCAGTTTTTATAGTATGACGATGTTCAATGAATGAAATAAATTGGTAGAATAGTAATTCTAAATGAAAACATTTTTGAAATGATAAAATTTCAAAGCGCACGTTTCAATATTTTAAAATCTTTAATAACATACCATACATTTATAACAGTCAGAGTTTGTAAGTTCCAACCTTTAGTCATTCATAGGATCATACTGACAAGCTTTTTATTATTGTGTTTTGAACAGAAACTTGTTCTTTTTTTTTCTGCGGCATTCTAATTTTTTTTTTATTTGCCTCGTTGTTCTTTTATTATTCTAACCATTGATTTATTTAGAAAATAAGTTTATTCTGCAAATCCATTATATCTACCACAGGTCTCTCCGTATTATTATATAACTCGATGAGCTCAGATATACTGATATCGATTGTTTCCAAATGGAAAAAAACATGATCATTTGGCACTTTTTATATGGATCATGTAGTGATTGTGGCAAATCAAAGTGTTAGTGCGCATTATACTTGATATCGTGAATATATAAATTTTTATCTGCGAAAAGACTAAAAACCCTGTAGTTTAGAACATAGACAAACATATGCCAACCTTTTTCCATTCCTAAGGAATTCTGGGAAAAGAAGTCTAAGACGTGTTGTCCTTGATTGCTATAGAAAACATACTCATTGATGGCCGAAATTCGATTCTGGTTGCTGGAACCTGCAGATGAGTAGAACCATAAGAACCTCAATTTGAACTTATTATTTTCTTCGAAAATATGTGTCAGTTCCACGAAATAGTATTCTTGTTTTTTACTTTAGAAAATTAAAATTACCTTATAACCACAGGTTTTAATAACGTCAAGAATGTCTTGTTGAAGTCCAGCTTCATTCCATGATCGTATTGGATGTGGAATATTTCCACCTTTTGTTGTTATATCATAATCTTCTTTAAAGATACGCCAATCTCGTTCAGTCATTTCTTTCAAATTCTTCTCAGACCAATGACGTTCATCATAACGATTGTTTTCATCTTTTTCTCGAAAAGATAGCAAAGGGCTTCTAAAAAAATAATCAATCACAAAAAGAGTGATTTATTTTGCTTTTATGTAACTTACGCTACTCGATCTTCTTCTTCTTGTTTATCAGTATCAATATCTTCTGCACGACCACGACCAAAGCTTTGTATTGGATGTTTTTCTTTATAGACTGGATTATAATCAACGGCTGTATCTTCCTTATCGTCCCAATCAAAAACAAATTTTCGATCATTTAAACGATGAACTTTATGT